TTTCAAAACTAAAATTCAGTGCTTAGCAAAATCGCTAAGCAGACTGGTAAATGTCCAATTTTAGCAGCCTAGCATATGTTTATAATTTTTGTTTTAACATATGCTATGTTGGTTGAACTCCCCTCCCCACACATACGGTAGATAAAAGCTGTCACATCACAAAATGGTGGCAGCCCAACTTTTCTAACGTTTTCCACGGCACTTCAGAATCTTGCATTAATTAGCTATTTTTGGATGGGAGACAGACTCTTCTCTTCTTAGAATTTTGGTTGTAAACCTTTCATGTACTTCAGTTTATGTATGCAGCAGCCCATCTGTATTTCTGCATCCATAAGCAGTGAAAGGCACAGGGCGCACAGAGAAGGCGGTCACTGAGAGCTCAGCGTGCTCTTTGTGCACAGTTATACACGCGTGGCAAGCAGCCCTCAAAGCAGGCCCCTTTGCTGCATTGCTTAGCTCTCGTCTGCTCACACAACAGCGTTCTCTTTCTCTTCTTCTATGAAGAGAAATGGGTGAATAAAATACTGGCCTATTTATTTGTATTGTGGATTGCTCATAAATTTCTCTCTTTTCTCTCTCTCTTTTTCAAAGGCAAGCATAAGGAAGAATTTTGCTGATGCTACTTCTCTTCTAAAATGGTCTCAGTGGAGTAGGGAGCACTTGTGACAAATGTTGTTGCCACCATGATAATGCTGCCTTAATCGTTGCTTTACTGTGGCGTGGAAGCCTGGGCTTAGATGTGGGAAGACGTATAGCAGTATGATCCCGTATCCCACCCAGGTGTCTTTGGGTTCACACCAAGGCCGCAGCTGTGATATGCTTTTTTGTTGTTCCCCTGTTGTTAGGCCCCTGACTGTGGTGTGCTTTGGCCCTGCAAAGTCTAGGTGATCCTGCTCAGGAATGGCCCTTTATCTTCGAGGGAAGATGGAGCCTTGCCAACTTGTCAGTCAGCTGCTGCTGCTGCCACAGCGGTGGGGAGGTCTCTGTGGTTGAGGACTAGCTTTGGCCAAGTGTGGTCGTATGGAGGCCTGGTCTGTCTATGGTGCTCACAGGGCTCCTCGGATGCCCTTGTCCCTGCCTAGCGCAGGTTCTGCCTCCTCCCCGAGGCTGGACACAGGCTCATGCCCACGTGCAGGCGTGCATTGGAATACTTTGTCAAAACATAACACTGACCTCCCATACACTGTCAGCCTTATCAAACATAACTGGTTTCAGGAGCTGGGTTTGGCATCCGAGTATGCAGGAGGAGGTACAGGGACTGGCCTGTCCTCCTGTGCTAGGCCAAAGAGCTGCTCGTGCCCCAGGAACATGGAGGTGCCAGAGCCAAGGAGAGGAGATAGGAGCCTTGGTTAGTGCATGTCCTTCTACAGAGCTTCACGAAGGGCCGTGAACCTCTCAAGTCCACAGCGTGTAACCGCCTGGTAATGCTCATAGAGTACCTCTGCAATCTGTGGATCATAGATGACAATGATGGCTTTTCAACGTTTATTTCATATTTATTTATTTACTGGCAGCAACAGGACTGCTTTTGTTTGGCTTGCTGTGGTTATTATCTGACTAACAGTCTTTGCTGTGGAAATCGGGTTTTGTCAATGTGCACAGAAATTAGTTCTGTGTTACTGCCAAATGATAAGTGTAATGGAAAAAGGAAGTGAGACATTAATCTATGGGGTTTTTTTTCAGACCTTTAGCTATAAGTCTACTAGAAATAATTGTCTATTGATTACAAGTGAACATAATTAATCAGTGTATCTTTAGCATCAACTGCAGATCTGCAATCTTTAGCAGAAAGGTAGAGGGTTTTATTTACTTTCCAGTGTTTCTTTCCATGCTGTGGAGTAATTCTTTGGTTTGAGTTTCTGTTGTATGGTGCAGAGACATTATTCCTTCCTTCCTTGGCTTTTTTTTTTTCTTTTACTTTTTTTTAAATTTTTTTTTTCTGTATGAGATTCATCACCGGTGAATTGAACCTAATTTAATACTATTTTTCTATGTTGGTTCTCAAACTGGCATGCATGCTTCTGTGGTAAAAAGGTGAGAAGAAGAAAGTATCAATGAAGGACTTCTGTGTGGAGCTTCATAACAAAGCTGCATGTGGTACCATGTCAGTGACAGTGAACTATTATGTGAAAACTGAATGGTCATCTGATTTTCAGAGGACTACCATTTAGAAAAGCAGAAAACATCATGATACTTCTGATAATATCGTAAGAGTTCTTCTTACTCTATGGTTATGTATAAGATCTGAATTGATTTTTTTAGAAAAATAGATGTATGGGCAGATGGTGATATTTACTTGAGGGAAACTGAATTCATTATCTGACTAGAGCTGGTTATTTCAAGCAGCTGTTTGAAAATGAGAACTCACTTTTTTATGAAGGAGAACGTATGTTTAGGCAAAGTGGATCCTCTCTTTTCAAAATATAAGGCTGTCACTGGTTTAGTCTATGGCAGAGGCTTTTGTTATGTCTATATGTGAATTCATTTATGGAAAAAACCTTAACTGAAATAGTCAAAAGCTAATCTTGTTAAATAATTTTGCAAACTAAAAAAGTCAAGCTTAAAAGCCTCCAAAATAGATGAAAGTTGTAGCTGTTTTCTTAAGATCTTGGACCAGAAAAGTGGGCGAGCTCTTTTGCTATAAAGGGTTCTTTTGCTTTAAAACTTCTTCCTTTTAGACCAAATATTTAGAAATCTTACCTACCAAATTCAATTTGTTACTATCCAACTTGTCTTTATTTTGAATTACTGACATATGATTACTTCAGAAAATTACTTGAAAGCCCCCAAATTTCTTGAAATTCTTTAGAGAATATTCAAAAGTAAGCCAGAGGAAAGGAAACCAAATGTGAATGTACCTGTTATCTTTTACAGATCAGAATTTTGAAGGATGTGTATTTTAGCTTGATCATATGTATTTTTGAAGCCCAAGTGTATTAAAAATGATCTTAGATTTTTGTTTCTTCAACATGTTTCTGTTAAGTTTCCTTGGAAAGATGGCCAGATACTGTTATCCATCTGTAAAGGTTGAAGACTATCTGTTGAAAACTGTGGTTTATTCATTGCTTATCTTCTTTCTTTCCTCATTTCTTTAAGAGTACTTTCATGTGATTTTTTTCTATGTGAGAAGACCGAGACCCTGGATTTCTTGAGGATTTCTATTCTGGATTTCTTAGAGTTATGTGAACCAATTCATTGAAAGTGGATACCCAAGTCACTTACCTTTTTAAGTTTCTGGTTTTCTATTCCATCATAAGAAATCCGAGGTGCTTACATACTTTACTGGAATCTGTGTTAACATTTTCAAAGTTCTCTATGTGTTTTCAGTGGTTTTACTTCTCAGAATGGGCCCACACAGTTAGTGGCTTCATGACCCTCAAAACGCCTCATTTCACAGAATCACAGAATCACAGAATGTTCAAGGCTGGAAGGGACCTCTACAGATCATCTAGTCCAACCTTCCTGCTCAAGCAGGCACACCTAGAGCATGTGGCACAGGGCGGCATCCAGGCAGGTTTTGAAGACCTCCAGAGAAGGAGACTCCACAACCTCCCTGGGCAGCCTGTTCCACTGCTCTGTCACCCTCGCAGTAAAGAAGTTCCTCCTCACCTGGAGACGGAACTTCTTGTGTTTCAGCTTGTGGCCATTACCCCTCGTCCTATCGCTGGCCACCAGTGAGAACAGCCTGTCCCCTTCCTCCCTGCATTCTCCCTTCCTGAACTTATACATATTAATCATATCCCCTCTGAGCCTTCTCTTCTCCAGAGAAAACAGGCCCAGCTCACTCAGCCTCTCTTCATACGAGAGATGTTCCATTCCCTTAATCATCCTGGTTGCCCTTCTCTGGACCCTCTCGAGAAGCTCCACGTCCCTCCTATACTGGGGTGCCCAGAACTGCACACAGTACTCCAGGTGCGGCCTCACCAGAGCTGAGGAGAGGGGCAGGATCCCCTCCCTTGACCTGCTGGCAACACTCCTCCTGATGCAGGCCAGGATCCCATTGGCCTTCTTGGCCACGAAGGCACACTGCTCACTCATGGTTAACTTAGCGTCACCCAGAATTCCCTCTCCAAACACTCCCGAGGAATGCAGCTCTGTGTACAAGTAGCACAAAGAGAATCTCTTTCTAAACAGAATGGATGCACAAGGATGGCTTTTTGCTGTAAGATGCACTGTTCAGTCTGCACAGTCGTAGCCCCTCATTTGCATTCCTCCAAATTGTAAAGCCTCCCAACCGCATAATGGTACAAGCAGTGAAAATGAGAGGTATTCCAAGAAGATTTTTGGGCTCTCCCCAAAATGTTAGCATCAGCTCTTCATTGAATCTTCACTGAGAATCTCATGCCGTGCTCATATGTGACCTTGCTCTGTTGGAGTATATACATATATGCTTTATGGTTTGGCCCTCTGCTTTTATCTAGTGGCATAGTTGTTTGAAAGGTTAGGCTGGTTTTGTTTGACCTCAGGTAGGAGATAGCTGTATATGCTCAGTGGGTGCCCCAGGCAGTTTGTTTATGCCAGAAACTGTGAGGTTACTGAAATGCCTTCCGTAGGCTCTTTAACCACGGAGGAAACAAAAATACAACATGTTAATACCTAGGTCTGTATAAGCAAGTCCCTGACTGATGAGGGACATTGCTAAATATCTGAGTTTCATGCATTTTCTTATTGCCTCATATTTTAATTGAATGAAAAATACTATTTGAAAGATGTTTCCTGGGCTGTAAACAGTTGCAATGTTTGGAATGGGATTAAGAGGAGGTCTATAATAATCAATACTAATGCTGCGATGCAGAAGACCTGTAAAAGAGCAAGGTAACCTAGCTGAAATTTTATTGTGAAGGGTCCCTCTTCTCCACCCTCAGCCAAAATACATAGTTTATAACAGGTGCTGTCTTGTTCATCAAACAGATATTTGGATTTCACTTTTTAATGAGATACTTGCAATTCCTCCAGCAAGATTGCAGATCATAACTTTTAATTTCTTTTTCTTTGTGTAGATCCAGAGAGAGTTTGCAATGGCAGTGCTATGGAAATTCATGAGAGTTACTAAGTATTCTACAAGAGGTTTATCACAGGAAGTGAAAGTAAGAGGAATTATCACCCATTCAAGGCACTCTTCATCCAGGTCTATACCTTCTGATATTGCTGCCAACACAGCATCATTGAATACTGTGGAACTGCTTGGTAAAGCTTACCCTCGAGATGACTACAGTAATGTCACGGAGAAGATTCTCTCCAAAGTTGGGAAGAACTTGCACAACCAAAAGCATCATCCTTTGTGGCTAATCAAGGAGCAGGTGAAGGACCACTTCTACAAGCAATATACAGGACGCTTTGGAACGCCCTTGTTCTCTGTCTATGATGCTCTTTCTCCAGTGGTTACAGTACAGCAGAATTTTGATAGCCTGCTTATCCCACAAGACCATGCCAGCAGAAGGAGAGAGGATAACTATTACTTGAATCGTGATCACATGCTAAGGGCACACACATCAGCTCACCAGTGGGACTTGATACACTCCGGCTTAGATGCCTTTCTGGCCGTGGGAGATGTCTACCGCCGTGATACAATTGACAGCACCCACTACCCAGTCTTCCATCAGATGGAAGGAGTTCGGCTCTTCTCCTGTCACGAGGTAGGAACTCTCTGTAGTTGGGATGAAAGAGATTCCGGGTAAATTGCTTCATCTTGTATTTGCTCTAAGCAAAGTGCATGCACTTAAGCCAGTTATAGTCACACAGATGATACACTGCACGCTGATAAAGGTCATGTGGGTGGTAAGAGTACGTTTAATTTAAGAAAAATTTGGATGAAAGTTATTACATTAAAAAAAAACTAAAAATATTTCCAGAAAAATGTGGACTATAGTCTTAAAAGCTATCAAAATAAAAGAGTATCTGAAAGGAAACGGCTGACTCAGCTAATGGTTTGCATAATTCAGTTCCAGTTCTGTCAGTAGTACCTTCCAGTGAGGGAATCTTACCATGAAACTTTGTCATATTAGCTCTTGAAGGACTCACAATTGCAAGTTGTTTCATCTACAGTACAGAGGAAAGCTCTCAGTCATCTGTCTTCTTTTAATAGCTCCAAGCTTCATTTATGAATATCTTCTTTTCTAATGAATTGCCCCATGCTTCATCTCATCCTCTACCTATGCTGAAAGGAGGATTTGTTGCACCTTGTAGTTATGGATGTGTAATGTATACACAGTAAACTCGTCTGAGAGCAGACACCAGCTGAAGAGCTCTAGGTAGATGTCCAAGACTCTTGAGTTTATATATATTGTTGGCACAACTTATGTGCACTGCAGATGCTTGAGTGTTGTTAAATATTCTGCTGTATCATTGATTGACTGTAAAAATAAGCCAGATTGTTTTCTAAATAGTAATTGATCGGTACAGTTTGTGTATGCTCATAGCAATACTGCCAAATTCACATTTATATACCTAGAATGAGCCTATACTGGTAATACTTAGATACAGACCATTCTCCATGTGGTTGCAAGTGGGTGACAGGAGCTTGGCCGGGAAGCACGATGCCTGAGGGAGGTGTGGGGAAAACTCTGTGCCCTGTTTTCTCCCTGGTGGGAAAGGTTCGTGTCATGTACATGGGCATTTTCTCACCACACTGCCACTTCCTTGACCAATTTGAAAATGCAGCTGCCTGTGAAGATGTCCAGCAAGCGATATGGTGTCAGATGGCATTTACGATGACCTCTTTGGTAATGAAAAAAATGGAAAACTTACAGATTTATTGTGTCTTATTTGTTAGCTATTGTTTTGCATACACATCTTCATGGTTATAACCTGTTTTATAATCTGGCTACAATATGATTATAATATGCAAGAATAAATTGGTACTACATTATGAAAATGTCATTTTGTAACATTTTAAGATTTTTCATCTCGGCTGAAATTCAGGCCTCTGGATGTGAAGAGGGCACTGTATCTGCCACAAAATTGAAACAGTAGAATAGCTACCCTATTAGAGAATGGTATTTATAAGAACTTGGAAGTGATTGATCTAATTATTGGAAGAATTCTTAAGGAATATGTCTCTTAAAATATTTGCCCCCATTGTCAGGATATTTCTTTCTTCTGCACAAAGGAAATAAAGGGAAGTGTAAGAAGAAGATTGTACCAGATGGGAAGAATCTTATAGAAAATTTTGCTGTTATCTACAAGCTAGAACTGTGCTGATATGCAGTGTACAGTGATCTGATTCACTGCATTATGGGTTGGTTTTTTGTTTGTTTGTTTCTCTTTTCAAGGGAATGGTTGTGATGTTATAGGAGAATCCCAGTACTTGATGAATGTGAAGCTAGGTATGTGGTAGGTATATGGCAAATGTGGACTGTTTTTTCTCTGAAAAATCTTGAAGGCTCCGTTCTGCTGAACTGCTGAAGGTGGCGTGGAGCACAGCGCGTAAGGCCTTGTTTGTTGGGGAACACACGTGAGCTCTAGCTGTGAGAATGATCTAAAGCTGCCCATTCTTGCTTCAGTTGAGTGTTGAAGCCTGGTTAAGTCTTGCCTTGTGAAAAACCTGAATGTGTAATTCTGTAATTTTCTGGGGACTGTTTCTCTGTTCTGTATTCTGGTTGCTTCTTTGAAAAAAACTCACAAATGTGAATATTTCTAGAAGGAACTGAGTTGAAAAAAGATTAAATGGAGGTAATAGTATACGAGAGAAATATTTTTATATTCATTTATTTATACTCATGTATAAGTTATAACCCACTGAAGAGGAACGTGCGAGTGTCAGGGCCTGTTGCCTTCATCTGAGACTTCTCACTCATAATCATATTGCGAGCTGGGGCCACGAGGAAATTTGCACAGTAGTGAGGAGAAGCTATGAAACTTAGAAGGAAAAACTGTTAACTCTTTGCTGGAAGCTTCTCAGCACAGTGGCAGGTAGATTTCATTTTGGAATTTCATTTATATCTAATAGTGTAATTTTATTTGCTGTAGACTGTTTATTGCTTTATACTTTGTTCTTTGAATTTGCCTGTTTAGCATTACTGAATGTTAATAAATTATTACATTTATCATTACGTATCTACTGAAAACTGGACCATGAAGTTGAAACAAACAACAACAAAAAAACACTTCATGATGGTTTTCACTTGAATTCATAGGGATTTTAATTTTTCCAAATCTGCTTCAGTAGCCTAGACATCAAGTAATTTATTCTCCTTAAAAAATGCCTCCCGGACGGTGGGGTATGTGTAACGCCAGCCTCCAGCACGCCATGTTGTTTCCTCCTACAGCCTATCTGGATGGTTCGGGGGGCTTTCTTCCCCCTTCTCTCTTCCAGGGCCGCCCTCACCCTTTGGGCTGGCAGGGCCGCTGCGGTGGCCGTTGGGGGCGACGCTGCGCGGGGCTGGCGCCTCGGCGGCGCCCCGGGCTCAGCGGCAGCCGCGCGGCATGGCGCCCAACGGCGCCCCGCGCCCTGGGGGGCCGCCGCACGGAGCCCGCGCAACCCCGCGGGGGCACCGAGCGCAGCGCCCCTCATCGCAGCGCCCCCCAGCGGCGCGGCCGAGCGCAGCGCAGCGCCCCCCATCACAGCGCCCCCCAGCGGCGCGGCCGAGCGCAGCTGCGCAGAGGGGCTGCTCTGATGCTCGCGCCAGGCACGCTGGTGCTGGTGTCTCAAAGCGGAGATGATAATAGCAGTACACAGCGATACGCTCTGTATCGCCACTGAAATGTTTTTAGAAGAATTCTTTTTGTGTGTGTGTGTGTGCGCGCTATAGTGCAATGGAGAAACATAGATCTTTGCAGGCCTGCCCCTCCAAAGCAAGGATAATTTGCATCCGTGTAATTGTTGTTAATTCTGCAGCTCTATTCACTACGGGAAAAAAATGTTTCCATATCATAGTTTTAAAGTATTTATATCTAGACTTGTAAATACTCCTGTCCTAGGTCAGGTAACTCTTTGTCTTATTTGTATAAACATGTACTTGATTTCTGGTGATTTCATCCTTGTGCACCTTTCTGCTGTCTTTAATATGTCTTTTTAAAAAGTTCCTTTCTATCTGTTTTACATGTATTACCTTCTGTTTTAATCAAGCATTTAACTGCTGTTGTGCTTTGAGATAAACTTATCTCATTAACCTCCTCTCTTTTTTTTTTCCCTCCTCTTTCTCCCTTTTGTTTTTGCTTTTGTTTTTGCCTGTGTGTATTTTACAGGGCCAGATGAGAGTGACATGGAGTGTCATGGCCTGGAGCCTGCCAGTCTTTTCCATCGAGGGTATTTATCTCTTACCAGGTTACAGCATTTCAGTCTTCCTGGCTCTTTGTAGCAGAGTGGAATCCAGTCACCTTTCTGGAAATGGTGAATCTAATTGCACTTTAGGGTGGACACCTCCCGTATTCCTCCTTACAGTGGCTCCGTGGTTGTGTTCTCACTTGGTGACACCACTGTGTGCCAGCAGCTGCCAGCAGGATATCTGATGCACATCCAGACACGGCAAGTGGCACAGAGCGTGTCCGTCTGCCCTTCAGGCTCGGTGTCTGTCCAACATGTGTTACACGTGTTAGCCAGCTGGGTGCTGTTGCCTCCGGGATGGCGTTTGAGGGGTTGGTTGCAAGTACCACACTGGTCCCAAGCAACCCGAGAGCTGATCCTTCCTCCTCACGACCTCCAGGACAGGGACATCTGATCTAGAGCCCCTGTTAAGAAATGTTGGGGTTTCTTTGTTGTTGTTGGGTTTTTTTTTTTTCCCCTGTGTGAAAACATATATATGGTTTTCCCTTAAAAATACATGATGAATTATTTTTTGCAGAAACACTGGAAAAAGAAAAACAAACCCAAACAAACATCTCAGACAGTAATGGGAGGTCTAAAGACTGAAAGATCTAGAAATTTCAGCTGTCCACCATGGAAGTAGCCATCCTGAACGTGTTTTATTGATACCTAGTAAAGACCGTCCTGTTCCTCAGATGGTGGCCTGTATGTCTCTGTAGCCTATGAAACTGCCAGGATTGGGGTGCAGGTTTATAAATTTCCTTGTGTTGGAGGCTCATTGGGACTGGCAGTAAGTTTTCTTTTTGATAAGCCATGTTCAAATAAGCATTATTGCTAATCCATCAGTTAAGTGTTAACAGGACATTTAAAGTGTTGTGCAAGTGGCTGTACTATTTGTACTGCACGGATTTAGAGTGCAGCTGTGTGCTTATGTTTAGGGATATTTGTCAAGGCTGGCGAGTCACAAGGTATTAGTTGTGGCCGTGCTGAGCGGTGGCGCTTGCACATCCTCTTGTGGAGCTCCTTTCAAGCACTGGCGTGTTTTGTGAAGACGGGGATGTGAACATTATGTAGTCATTATTCTAATACTGGAGTACGCATGGCAGACAGGAAAAATACACTGCTGCGTTGTCAAAAGACAAGTTCTTAAATACGTCTTTCTAATCTGAAACCTAATATGAATGTCAGCATCCTGTAAAGAGAAGCGTGCACTTGATCTGAATCCTAAGTGTGTGGATAATGAAGGGATATGAAAGTGGTGATTTTTGTTTGTGTGTTTGTTTTTTAGTCTGTCAAATGGTTTTAAAGGATTCCTTGCTGAAATCATGCATGTGCCAGGCTGAGAAATACAGCAAAAGAGCTTTTAAGGGAGCATTTATTTGTCCAATTAAAAATTGATATTTCATAGGTTACCAAATTTGACTTTATTCTTATTAGGAGCCACCCTGGTGTGACGGGTAAATGTCACGCCAGATGGTAAGGTCACTTTGTTTCCCTTCTCTTTTGTAATGGGGCTTCAGTCAGATATGCTGATAAGCCCTGGAAATTATTTTTATTTATTTATTTATATCTGCAGGATGAGGCAATCTGCAGCTCATCCTTCATTTGGTTCCAACTCCAGCTCTGCTGGCTTGCTGTGGACAGAAGGGCGACCGTGTTTCTCACCCAAGGCATCTGCTTTGCCCAGCTCGGCCACCGCAGCGCTGGATTTGGTTTATCAGTTTAAAAGGGCTTGCACCAGCGTGGCAGTGTTTGTGAATGGAAGCAAAGAGGAGCAGGCAGCACAAGAGCAAGGCGCTTCTTCTCACTACCGCCGTGCCCCGGTTGTAGCGCGGTGGAGGGCGCATCGAGGAGTGCCAAAACGAGCTCCCCTCCGCGCCTGCCCTGCAGGGGGCTGTTTCCTCACCCTTCCCGGGATTTGGGGAACTCTTGGCAATCCCTGAGGGTTGGGAGCCGGCACAGCTGGGCCCCATCGCTGTGACCCCGCCTGCCTCCTGGCTGATCCCCGTCCCCTCGCGGCTCCGCGGCCGAGCGGGGCCTGGCACGCGGGAGGAGATGGGGCCGGGGCTCCGCTCCGTGGGTGCCTGTGGGGCACGCGGCCGACGGGAGGCCGGGTGTGTTTGCTGTGTCTCCTGGTGTTTCCCCTTCATATCTGGTGTAACCTGCTCAAGTGGATTCCTGCCTCGAAAAGCAGTTGCACTAGCTACAGCTCAGGAGCGGGGCGATGGTAAAGGAAAGTACTCGCGTGTGCCTGGGTAGATGCTGCGCAAAGACGCCGAGGTTCCTGTCCTAAGATGCGGGAGCATAGGGGAAAATGCACCTTCTGATTTACAAAAACAGCGTATGTGACTCTAAAGGGTAAAAACCTCTGTGAGCTTGAGGAAATTTCCGGCACACGAAAGTCCTCTCTCCAGTGACCAGAAACAAGCAGGGAGCCGTGGAGCGGGAGCCTGGGCCGCTCCGGATGGCCGCGCGAGGGAGTCTGTCCCCACGCACGGAGGCACCGTGCCGGATTAGCCTGGCCCGGCTAACGCTGCTCCCGGGAATACCGGCATCCGTGCCAGGTGGCTGGGGGAGCCGCTGACAGAGAGGGAGTCACCCTGGAGGCTACTGGGCCCTGCCAGCAGGGCAGACCCTGCCGGTAATAGGGGGTTTAATCCTCCCATTGAGCACTCGGATAATGAACCTGCTGTCTGAGAGTGCAGTACCTGGGTCTGTCGAGCTGTTACCAATGCAAATTGGTAGCGGTGTTTTTGTTAGATTCATGAGTAATTATTTTATTCAGTGTTTTTCTTTCTCCCTTTTGTTTCATGTTTTCCGGCAGTGTGCTAAGGAGGTTGCATTTGGACTTGCATTTTCTCACTCTGACGGCCCAGGCCCCTTCTGGCTAGTAATGCAAAGTATAAAATGCAAACTGAGGTGTAATTTTTTTATTCCCTGGCTGTTGTTTTGCCTGTTGTGTAAACTCAGGCTCCTGCTGCACGGCATTGTCTGTGAGAAATATGCATAAATTAGTCCATGTTAATTGGGAACGGCGTTGTTGGCTTTCTTGGGGGTTCATTGGGGTTTTTGCAAGCAGTTTGTGCTCTAAAGTGAACGTACAGTCAGAACAACAGATTGTACGCGTGTCCAGGAGTTATGGTTACACACCCTAATTCTCTTCAATTAAGAGCTAGTTATGTTAGGAGACTTCCTATGAAGAAAATCTGACAAAGTATATGGGTTTTATTTTATGAAATATTAAATATTAAAAAAAGTTGAATCAAGGATTAATGCTACTACATATTATAGTTTTTGAAATGTAGTTTAGATATACTGTATCTCTATATATGCTTAGGGAGTACTTTGTTCTGCACAATGGCTTTCAAAAAAGCAGAATTTGAAAAATAAGTCACACCAAAGAGATTTGGTAAATTAATAATTTATTAATTAATTAACAATCACAAATTGTAATAATAAATAATTGTAGCTAATTATTATTATTGAAGTTATGGTATAGAAATAAAAGAATTTCCATTCTTTTAACAGTTCACCTCTTTCTTTAGTAATCAGAATTTGTGTATTTTGCTCCCTAGACTTAGCAGGTGAGATTCCTACTTCGATCAATAAAACTCCAGGTGAGATCTTTGCTGTGTTCATTCTAAACCCGAATGCAAACCTCTGGTGTCCTTGCGTTTCTGTTCCAGTTGTTCTGCAATGTGAAGGGTGGCGAAGGTTTCCAGCTGTTCGAGCAGGGCCCTCGCACGGCGCACAAGCAGGAGTCCCACACCATGGAGGCCGTGAGGCTGGTGGAGTTCAGCCTGAAGCACGCGCTCACCCGGCTCATGACTCACCTCTTTGGGGACGGTAGGTTCCCGCACCCTGTGGCCTGGGCAAAAGGTGTGTGGGTCGGCACACAGGGGGTCGGCATCCAGTACTCTGAGACTGGTGCTTTGCTGCATAATAAAAACGAGGTTAGTTCCCTTTAGGTGTCTTTTAATGTCAGACTAACCTGCTATGGATTGTCTTTTCAACTGTATTCTTGTATTCTCAACCATAATTTTTTGTTTGATTTCTTTTAAACTGTACTATGTGCACAATTAGTAAAATTACTAAGGAAAACCCATCAGACAACACACATTCCTCATGATCTTTCTGAATACTGGTGCCTGCCACTTTGTGTAGAGTGGGGTACCTCTTGTGAAGAGATTTGATCTGTACTGTGCCAGGGTAACGTGGTGGGCAGGCACACAGGTGAGGACACATGCAAGGCCCAACTACAGGCTCACTTGTGTTAGAAGGACAGGTATTGGAGGAGATGGGGTATGTAATGTCCATGTAGGTCTTGTCATGAGAGGCACACAGCCAGGAACGTGTGCATTTCCCTGCTGCAAACCAGTCTCTTGGCTGAGGGGAGGCAGTCTTTGCCAGGTTAGCACAAAGCTGGAAAACTGTGTGGTTGTGAAAGGTTGTGTGGTATTTAGAGTGGAATAAGGAAGGGTAATAAATGTCTGTGTATAAGAATGAAATACTATTCTCTCCTCAGAAATACCTGTTTCTGTAGCTGAATTTATAAATGGCCCAAGTTAAAATTGCTCTCTTAATGCTGTTTACTGCCAAGGAGGCTGGTCTTTCCTCAACAAAAATAAATGAATCAGTCCAGAAATACTGGATAGTATTAGAATGCATGGGATAGGCTGCCTCCTTTCAGAGCTCTCTTAAGATGCCCACTGACTTTACAGCAGTAGTTCCAACGATGGATTGATGATAGTATCAAGTCCTATACATGACTCCTTGAATTTTCTTCTGAAATTCTAAAGCTGAATTTACAGCAAAGAAAACTTTTGCCTGCTTTAGTTCTACTCCCTCCTTGAAAGAAATTTTGTTAACTTCCTTGTTTTAGTTCTTATGGTTGTATTTTGCTTGCCAGCAGCCTTTTGAAACATACACAATCAGGATCAAAGTGAGTAATAGGCAAAACGATATTTTTACATCAGTGCCTCAGATACAAATGGTGTTGATAAAGAGAACATTTTCTGGGAGTTATTAGTGATATCTAAAACTGTAGTGATATCCTTCTGTAACTGGTGACAGATGCAGCACTTTAAGCTTCAGTATATTCTTATTATTAACTCTTCTACAGTCCATACAGTAGCTAGAAAGGCATTTAAAAAAATCTTAAATGATTGTAAATCTCCAGGTTGAAAGGTGGTTTCTTCCTCTTGTTGTGGTGCTTTTCTCTTTTTATCTTGAGCTAAGAGATGAAAGTAATTAAAGCTAAGGTATATTTTACTGCATTTGTTTTTCATTAGAAAAAATTGTGTACTTTTTTTGTGGTGGATATTCTGTAAGGCCTAATGTTCTTTTAAAAGCAAAAATTTTATTCTGTTTATACTTCACTTCGGCTGTATTCTTTACAGCCTGTGCTGTCCACGGAATATTACAGTTGTCACACCTGTCCTTGTTGGATAGCATGTATCGTTGCAGAAAGCTACTGAAATATTGTATTGTAGTAGAGTCAACTTTGTTATCCATAGGCAGATTGCTTGGTTGGCAGTTTGGGTTAGATGCAGATTAATTTTGCATAAAACAGCTTAGACTCAAAGCTCTGAACCCAGATAGCTGTGCTTCTGCAGTGCTTTTCTGTGAATTTACCAGCTCAGGTCCATGATAGGGTGAGGAGCTCTGGAGTTTAACTGTCCCATTTATTTTTTTTCCCTCCCTTCATTACATGCTGAATGTGTGTTACTTTAAGCTTAGTTTACACAACATTTAATGAGCCACTTCAGCTTTATCTGACTTAATCTGCACTGTCAGGAATGTGGGATGTTTCAGTGTTGACTGGACATGCCAGTAAATAATGTAACAAAAGTTGCTTAAAGATCCCTAGGTTATGGATGGTCAATGACTTGATTAAAATCTGCACTTGTATCTATTCCCAAGGTGTGTCTGCAAAAGGAATGACATATATCACAGAAGCTAGGAGTATATAGTCAGTTGTCTTCAATTCCTGACAATGTAAGATAGTTCCCTTTATTACCTTTTCTAATGGTATATGTTGCCTAATTTTGTATTCTGCAAATGATGTTCATCCCATTTCTTTCATGAGATCTTGCTGTTGGGGAGTTATTTCAAATACTCAGCTTAGAGATCACCTTTCTTAATTTCCCTCTATTACCTCCAGTTACTGCGCACGCTTTTAAAGTAAAATAATTAACTTACATCTCCATCTCCATGTTAAGATCTGTAAGAGAAATAATTGTCTCGTATGAGTGATCGTGTAACCAGGCTAATCAAGGTTAACTATTTTAGTTTTCCTCCCACATAAGGTCCTTCTCCAACTCTACTTTTCTCGCTAAGCCTTCTGTCGTTTACCAAAAACTTTCTGCACTGAGAGATTCAGAAATAATCCTGCTAAGGCAAACGGGAAAAAAAATACTTTGTGCTTTGTACTTTATCCTTTATACAGAACAAAATACTTCGTTCTGTAATATGTTGCCCTAAGTAAATAGGCTGAAATTCACTCTTGTTCCTTCTTATTGCAGACTTAGAATTTCCTGCCCGGTATCCTACTATCTTTTACCATGACTTTTTTGGAAGAGGGGAGAAGTCTAGCTTAGAAGGGACTTCTGGAGATTATATAGTGCACTGTTGTTTGAATTCAGGTCTCAGATTAAGTTATCCAGAGGCCTGTTAAGCCAGATCTTGATTATTTCCACCAGGGGGGATAACAGCACTTTTCTCAGCAACCTTTTCCAATAGTTAATGGTTCTTTTTCTCACTGGGGCTTGCCATGATCTCTGTCTCCTTCAGCAATATCAGCCAACTCTCTTTGCACCTTGGATGCATCTCATGAGCTCGTGCTGATTTGTATACGTCCAGTTTATGCAGATGGCTCCTAACTCAGCCGTCCTCTGCTGTCAGTGGTTTGCCCTTTCCTTTTTCTTGATTCTTGAAATAGGGACTTGTGGGTGAGCTTTACCTGTGAAGACCAAAGCAAAGGGGGAAAAAAAAGGCAATGAGAACCTCAGCCTTTTTGTGTCATTGGTAACTAACTTGCCAGCCTTTTTCAGCAGCAGGACCCACATCTTCCTTGTTCTAGCTTTCTGCTGACTTCCCCGTAGTATCCTGCCTGGTGGTGGGTGTTGATGTCTCCTGCCAGTTTGAGCTCCAGCTGGGCTTCGGCCTCCTAACTGGCCTGAGTAATATTTCTGTTTGCCTCGTTGGGAACCTCTCCCCTTGTCCATTCCAACACTTCCTGGTTTTTATCCCTCTCAATAGCTCACTGTTTAACCAGGCTGGTTTCATGTTTTGCCACTTCCGTTACCTGCTTGGGAGAAGGGACGGCTCTTGGAAAGTCTCCCAGTGCTCCTGAGCTGCTCTGCCCTCCAAGGCAGAGCCCCAAAGGTTCCCTCTTAACGTTTCCCCGAGCAAGTTGAAATCTGCTTTTCTGAAGTCCAGGATCCTTATTTGCTTACCTGTTTTACTCGCACTCTTTAGGATCTTAAACTCTGTGATCTTACAGCAGCCAAGGCTGCTGTTGACAGTCATGTCTTCAAACAACTGTTTCTTATTTGTAAGAAGTAGATTTATTTTCCTTTTTTGTTACTTAATAACTTTATGTGTTTCTTTCTTCCTCAGGTGTGCTACTTTCCAAGGACCGTTTTCCAAACCAATTCTCATTTTTCTTTTTGCTGACACTTCTGAGCCTTGTACCTCTCTATTATTTCTAGTGTTTACGGTAAATTCCAAGTGTATTATAATGAACACATATAACTAGCAAGCTGTTGCTCTCATTTCTATCTCATTAGGGAAGTAGTTAAATAAGACTGAGCAAATACAAGCTCACAAAACATTGCTTTAGTTGCTCTTGCCCAAATCACTTGTGCCTATGTAGTTTATAGTTCATTTACTTCACTTAACAGTGCCCTGAGAAATATGTATCATATTTGGTTTATTCATGTCAAGGCTCTGGAAATGAATGTAAAGCAAATGAGAAATTTAGACTTTAGTGGAATAAATAATTGCTGCAGGAGAAAATGCTGTGAAGATTCAGTGATCTTTGTGGAGGGATCCACTGACAGGTATCACATTGGACACAGCTTTGCACAGCTGTTGTTTGCTTTAAGTGACCAGTTCCTGAAAGTGACGTAAACCTTACTTAAAGTGCCCAGCTGTTCCACGCAGGCTGGTGTAACAAAGACCTGTTTTCTACGTTGTTCTTTACTAAAGGTCCTGTCTTAAAAAGGAATATTTTTGCTAAGAAGGGATGCTAAAGTCCCCTGAACTGTCTCTCCCTGATGCTAAACCTTTGTCCAGAGGTGTACCTGCCTCTCTGCTTCTACAGTTGCATAAACTTAAGATATTGGATGTTGGGTTATAGAGAAAAACAAGTGAGATACCGAGCAGTTCTGGCTTCGAAAATATGACTTATTTGGATCTTCAGGAACTGGGCACGTGATTCCCAGCAAGCGAGATGTGAGAAGGGGCCGGGCGGCGGGTGGCGGCCCCGGAGCGGCCGGGCTGGAAAAGGCTCTGGAAAGGGCTGCCTTCGAGATCAGATCTCGCACCGTCCTGCTCGCGTAGGGAAAGAAATGAGCTAAGCAGTGGCTGTTTTGAAAAGTAGGTAAATTTGTAATGCAGTCAGGTAAAGCACCAAAAGGCTTTGCGCCCAGCGTCCGCTGATGGGGTTTTTGGGAGGGATGGAGTGTTGAAGGCAGGCCCCTAATGTTTTTAAGTTATGTTTTAATGTTTTCATTAGATTACCTTCAAAAACATTTCTATTCCTGGTTCATATGTTTTAATTATCTACCCGAATTCCTAGACACCTCTGCAAGGTGGCAGCAGGATGAGTAAAGCCATGTTATATCTAACAGTTCTGCTTTTGTTAGTTGTCATTGAATAGCCATTGAATATACTTAAAATCAAACACATGGTTCTGCTCTGTCTTCTTTTAACTCTGTTTTTTGTTTTGTTTTGCTTTGTGTGTGTGGATTTTTTTTTCCTTATCATTTAGGAAGAAGGCATAAGGGTTTGGCTAATAAATGCTGCAAACCATGAGCTAAAGTACATTCATGGTCAGCCAGCTCCGACTGCTGTAGTGAGATGAATTGGCTGGAGTAATGAAGTGCAGAATACTTGAGAACTGCCACACCACTCAAGTGGACAGGTTTTAATGCCGTCTGTGCTCAGCAGCTTCCATTTTGCAGATTCTCCCCTTTTCTCCCATAGAACCCGCCTGTAAAAAATAATCCTTACGGGAACAAAGAGACTTTCTGGTTAGTGAGGACCATCTGGGGCTCTGGCTTTGTTGCCTCTCTGCTGTGGGGCAGCACTCGGCTGCTTTCAATGGACTGCGGTCTGTTCCGAGTGCGTGTGTGTGTGGTGGGCAGGGGGGCCTTGGTCGAGCCCTTTTCATTATGAGGCCCAGACTAGCTCGGCCAGCTCCTCGTTTAGCCTCATACCTGAGAGCATCCTTACGCCAGAGTGCCGGCTGCATCCAGTTCCCTCCCCGGCTCCAGTACTTAAGAACAGCAGCAGTGAGCCGGGTGCGCTTCACTTGCGAGGTGGCGCTTAGGCAATTCCTGCTGAAGGACTTGTAAGGACGGTGCCTTGCAGCGAACCGAGCTCAGGCTCCTCGCTAGTGTAAATAATCCCTTTGGAAGAATGAAGTCCATCTAGTCAGACATTTGACTAGACTGTGAGTTCTGTTAAGTGTTTCTGATTGGAATCTGGCTTGTGCGCCTTTGCCTTCTCAAATTTCTGGAAAAAAATCTCCTTTGCCAGGTCTACATAGATTGTAGCCTGAGAAGAAATAAATTAAACCAAATCAGGTTAATTGTGTAGGACTATAGAAAGCCCAATCTTCATAGTCCGTTAAAGTCTTGTGTTTTAATTTGCTGAATATGAGCACTGCCCTTTGTTCTTTGGGAATATGTTGAGCACCAAGACAATATTTTGTTTCTAAATAATAAATGTTCCCATTTATTCAGTGACAGTCAAGAGAATGCTGCTAGGAGGCTTAGTCTTGCAGAAAGCTGAGCTCCTTCTGCTTTTCAGTACTCTCAAAATCTTAAAGAATAGGTTGAATATAAAATACAGAAATATTTCCCAATTATCCTGTATCCTCTATGAATACAACGATTGTGTCATAGGGGTGTATTTGTTAATTTGGAGAACAGGTGAAGGTCAAATTTGTTTCTTCTTGGTGGATTTATCTTGTTTTGTTGTATTTGAGTATTTTGTTTGTTTGCTTATTTGCACTTAAAACAACTCTCCCCTAAGAAAAGTACTTATATACATTAAAATTCAAAGTAGAAAATGATCTTTAAATATTCTTTATTAAAATGTCTTTTAATTAAGAATGTAAAGCAAATAAATCCTTTCCCCTTTTTCTCCCAGAGCTTCATTTTGAAGTAATCAGAGGATTAAAAAAAAGCATCATCAGAAAGTTGTTATCGAGAACGACACTACTTGAATATTCAATGTCATTCTTGTTGCAGTTGAAGATTTTGCAGCCTAAATGAAAATGTCTCATATATACTTCGCATTACAGTGCAAAATGGCACTTTAGGCCTAGGATTAAACCGCCTCTGTAGATCAGGAAATTAAAATCCCGTACCTATTTATTCTGAGTACTACTTTTGTGGTTTTAAAAGGATCGCTTTAGAGCTTGTTTGTGTAAGTCACAATACAATCATGAATGGTCTAGCTGCCAATATTTCAATTTTCTGAGTTGTGTGTGTATGAAAACTATCAGAACACTTATCATTCATATAATTTCCTGAGATTTGTTCAAGAAAGGAATTAAAATCTAGGAGTACCAGTTTATGTATTTTGAAATCTGCCTCTCTGTTTGAAAGTTCATAGCAGCCTGTAAAGTACTTTGTAACTGCAGATATTTTATGTTTTGGCTGTGTATGCATGCTTTTGTAAGAGCTTGTTGTCTATGTTTCTGTAACCATATTTAGTGTTTCAGGTATGGTTAAAGCAAATCTGGCCCTTGAGACCGCAGAAAATGTTTTGATTTGAAAACCTCTCCATACAAATTGCACAATTTATGTTTAAAGTTTCTTTTCAAAAGCAAAAAGGGTCAGAAAAGCAAAGCAGGGGTGTTAATAGTTACCATCGCCCAAACAATCTTTGCTCTGGCTGTTATTTTTACCACAGGGCCTGCCTGATGGTTAATGATCTTAAAGCTGATTAGAGTTAGACTCAGCTGAAGGCGAGAGCGGTCTTAAGGTTAAGGCCTGTAATAGCAGTTCAGTGCTCGCTTGGTTTTTCAAGGTTTGTGTTTCCAAGGCCGTTTTCTCTGGCCACCTAATGACTAGAAAAATATCTGTAGAGAAAGGAGGCTTGTGTAAGTGATTAGAAGGACTAAAACCCATCAAATATAATGAGGATCTTGACAGCACGTCCGTGTTTGGCAGCACTGTGGGCCTTGCCCTCTCTTGGCTCTGCTGTGTTGGATCTGCGGCGTTGGATGTTTCCTGGCCCCCCTCAGTGGTGCCTGAGAGGCACAGGGAGGAGGGCAGCAGAGCAGATTTTGGGACTTCACTGATCCCTGGCACTTCACATCTGCAGAAAGTTCCACTCTGCTCCTTTCAAGTGCCAGAATGGGCTATGGGTCCACTCAGAGCATCTGTGTGTGCTTGGGTGCAGCCTGCCTTCGTAAAGTGTCTATTTCTGTCTTTGCATGGAAGAGCAGCTCATTTTAATGTTCCTTTCTAAATACTTATGGAAGGAGTAGCTTTATATTTTAAACAGATTCTGATGGAAGTGTATAAAAAAAAATTATTTGCCTCAGTGATCAATAAAATACTAAATAAATGATGAAAGATTTTACCTTTCCAGTGAGGCACAGTTGGTCATTTCAAGGTGCAGAGAATAACAAAATTACCCACCTTCTCATGAACTAGGCCCATTTTCCTTCTCTGCCAGGTGGTTGCTCGCATCTGACAAATGATTGATTTGGTTTCAAAGGGTGCTTGAATTGCACAAAGTGTTTTTCATATTAGAAAAGACATGGTCATTTTTTTCCCAGAAGTTTTAAGATTTATTGCCTCACACAAGTGTTATAAATTAGTTTGTTTGCTATTTATTTTCTCTGGATTGCTGTAATTGGTGTCATTAGCTGAAGGGCAAGTTTTACAGATAGTTGAAGGGATGGCTGTTTAAACATGCACTGTTCTCTTTTTTTTTTTTTTTTCATTTCTTTNTTTTTTTTTTTTTTTTCATTTCTTTCTTTTTTTTTCTTTTTTTTAAATACACCACTACAGGACTGCAAGTCAGATGGGTGGACTGCTACTTCCCGTTTACTCACCCTTCCTTTGAGATGGAGATCAACTTCCAAGGAGAATGGCTGGAGGTGCTGGGCTGCGGGGTCATGGAGCAAGAGCTGGTTAACTCAGGTACGGAAACACCTTTGCTTCATTGACATCTCTATTAGCAAACACTTCTAGGGCCATGGGCTTCCCAGCGGGAAGTGCCTCCTGCTCCGAGGTGAGTACAGGCATCCCTGGTAGGAGCAGCAGGGCTCAGGCGGAGCGCAGAGCCTGCGTACTGGGATTGCAGCCTGTCAGTGCAGTGGGCTGGAGCCCACAAACAGCTTGTCTCGTATTCCGTGAGGTGAGGAGGCAGGTGAATCTCAGCTTTAAAAGATAATGAATTGGTGTGTGTATTTTTCTGTCTTGCAAGAGAAGTCAAGTGCACTCGCAGTTCAGATTTAAAAGTGTCATAAACAAATAGCATGCACTGGCATTTGGAATATCAGAATGTTCCATTATCCCTGAAGTACAAAAAGAGGAATCTGACATCTTTCATATTGCTGCTTCGTTGTTGGGTAAATGATAGGTTGCTTTCTGTTTTGTTTTGTTTTTCACCTTAGATTGGTTATTTATGAGTTTGAGACTGCACTAAGAGCAGCATCATTTAATTTAGTTGGAATTATTACTGAGAAATGTCATCTAACATGACTTGCCTTCTAAAACTTGCACATAAGCAGAAAGGAAGGAGAATCGACATTTCTGCTTATTTTCAGACTGGGAATTTTATGAGCTTGTTTTCTCCTTGGCAGAGAATAGGCTATTTGCTTAAGTGCTGTGCAGCTGGTAGGTGCTCAGACCTCTGTCAGTCAGTGTCCTTCAGTACCATTTGTTAGGAATGGGAGCCTTTGGGGATGTGATCCATTTATTTCTTGTGAGTGCTCTTTCAAGTAGCTATGTTAAACTCAGTTGATTTTGTTGTAGTTGCTTTCCTAAGCTATTGTTGACTTTTAATATGCTCTAAAGTGTTTCTTTTGACATTCAGGTATGGTAAGCATAGATGGCTCAGTTTTTCCAAGTGCTTAGAGCCCCTTGTTTTCCCCAAAGTTTGTGCGTACCTTATGTGATCGTTTTCTTTTTGAGATGTAAGTCCTTTTCCAGAGTTGCTCCCCAGTGGGATAATGGTTTTTACTTGGAGGTCTTTTTAGCACTATCATGTTCATGCTGTGATAAATGTGATATAGATTCTGACCAGTTTCAAAAATGAAAGACTTTGTAATACTATTTTAATCAGATAAGACTGATGACCAGACTTTCTTGTTTCTGTTCTATTTAGTTTTTTTAATGTGTGTTAGAAGAGCTAAACTCTGATCCCAGAGCAATTAATATATGAGAGTGTGAATGTATCAATGTGCATGAAACACCGATGGGAAGTTTTCCACCACAAAGCTTTCAATTCTAATAGGCCTTCAGCTTTTTGTCACATTCTAAATAATGGTCTTCAGAATGACATCTCTTCTCTACAAAAACATTTCGAACTATTTGTTCATTGTACTTCTAATCTTTCAAGGAACACACAAACCTAATAAATCAGCTTCAGTCTTTGAGTGACTTCTCTGCTTGCATTATTAATTAAAATTTGTTACTGATTTTTTTTCCACTGCATTAGCAAGATATTTTTATAGGGCCAAAACTCTTTGTCGTGTCAATCTTTCTACCTTTTTTTATTTTTATTTTTATTTTTATTTTTATTTTTATTTTTATTTTTATTTTTATTTTTATTTTTATTTTTATTTAATGAGAATTGCACTTCGTGTTAACCTGATTTTGGCTCTTCTGCTCTCTTCAGTGGCTATGAAAAAGCACTTGGATGAGGCCAATGCCTCCTAAAATAACTTTATTGAAGCACTGGAATCTCTTTGCCACAAGTAAGGAAGAAGTGCGATCATAATTTGTGTTGGCTAACAATTAGTTGATTTGGTTTAAAATAACCATGAGGCTAAGCTAAGTTAATATTTTCAGTCAAGTAACAAGTTAAATGTCAATCTTCCCTGCTTGCTGCTGCTCCAAGTATACTTTTCTTTATTCCTATTTTAAAACAGTTTAAATCCAAGCAGCTTGTAGGCAGGCCAACTTAGTGAAGCCAACTTTGCTGCTGCTAGCCCATAAATTTGAGTGTTCTGGCAGCAAGCTGCCTTTGTCTGGAATTGAAAATCCATTCCAGATATCTAGAAAGAAGAATTTATTTGAAGAAGGTTGAAGGTGAAAATTGTCTTTCCCAGCTCCCTAAGGGTTTTTTGTTAGCAGTACTGGAGTGCCCTCCAAAGCCATCCTTGATTAGTGATTTTTTTCAATGGTTTGAAATAGTTTATTAGTTTGTGAATGTGAAATAGTTGGTTTTCTACCTTTAGAGTATCCCTTGTGCCTCCAGTTTCCATCATCAGTGCTTTGCTTCTTACCTCTGGTCCCAGGCCATTAAATCTCTTTGAAGCACCGAAGCTTTTAGTTGAGTTACATTGCTTCAGTGTTGTCAGAGTAGAAGTCTAAAACATGTTGGTTATGTAGGACTCTCAGCATAAAATAAAACCTGGGCTTTTAAACAAGTGCAGAATAGCAAGAAGTAGGGCCTTCATCAGCCAGGGAGAGGAGGCCTGTGTTTTCCAAATAGCTCTGTCACTGTGCCTTGATTTGAAATATTGTCTGCTTGTCTATATGGGCGACTGCATTGTTTTTGTTCACAGGAGAATCACAGGCAAAAGAAATAGAGATACACTGCAAAAAAAAAAAAAAAAAAAAAAAATCATGGAAAAACACCAGTGGGTCTCCTCCTCCCTTACCATTTGCTCAATGCTTACAAAATTCCTTAGTTGCAGATAGGTGTCATACGGCCCTACAGTGGGCATCTAAACTCAATGTGCTGACCCACAATACGGATGCAACTGCGTTGGCTGGTGTCTGGTGCCTACACCTGGATGTCCCAAAGCTTTTGTTGTTAGCTGGGCTACAGTAGACACAGGGGAATTGCCTGTTCCTGCGTCAGTCTCTTCACAGACACTACCAGAAACAAGCTCAGTAGGGCTGAACAGAGAAATGTTCCTCATCTAGAGCTGGCAAACCTGGTGCTGAAGGAGTGTTTGCTAGTTGTCTTGGTGTGCCAGTTCACAGGCTGAAATAGGAAGGATCCTTTTCATGGTATATTGCACAGTCTGCTACAAATTGGAGAAGAAAACAATGAGTTTGCAGAAATTTTAGGGGAAGCTACAGCAGAATGAGCAAAAACTGACTGATAGTAGATATTATAGATAGATACTGCAGTCGGTATTTCAAAAATATTTGTTTAAAATGATCTTATTAAAATGTATTGTGCTTGTGTGCAGTTTATCCTTTGCTTTGAAGAATTTCGGTGCTCCAGTAAACTAAGCTAGCAGAAAGACTGTGATATTTTGATAGGGTCTTCATATGGCATTTCCAGTATGTTTGGGGTTTTTTCTTGGGGGCTTATTTTTTTTGCTTATTATTGACTATTAAAATACATATTTATGAAATCTAATGTTTGTGGCCAAGCATTGTTTTTTCTTACATAAAAAAAAATTATATTCCCAAGAGTAAGGAAGTAAGCTTTTACGTACAAAAGCCTCAAATCTCTTTGTGTGTGTGTGTGTGTGTGTGTGAGAAACAAATCACATGTTGGGTGTGCCTGGTGATATTTAGTGGGTGTAATTTAAGGTCTTTGATGATTCTTTAGCAGAGATGGTTTTTATAAAGTTTTATTTCTCATATATGTGTCTGTGTGTGTGTATATATTATGTATGTGTGTGTACACACACACACACACACACACACAAATATATATACATTAACTGAGGAAGCTGTGTGGACAGATTAAAAGACAGGGCTGAAGGTGCTGGGTATTAGGCCTTAAGTAGCTGTTTCTTTGTGTTGACAGATGATTCTGTCAAACTGACAGATCTTGTAATGGCAATCCCTGCCTGAAATACTTCCCTATAGTTCCTTGGAGGTTAGCCTGAGTATGCAGCAAATTCTGATGGTATTGACAAATCATTTAAGATTTTCAGTCTTGAGTAAAGTGTTCCACTGTAGCTTTAATACCTTATGGAATCAGAATTAAATTTGTTAAATTGTTATTTTCCAAAAGAGAATAGCCTGTTAAAGTCAGCTGATGACTTCTTATATTTAGGGAGAAACCTTTCTTTGTTTTCACTCTCTTTTAAATAGAATATGTTAGAGCCATTTGGTGCATGTAAATAGACTAAAATTCTCACTTTTGTTCAAAAATGTTAAGTATTCTTCATTATCCGCCTTCCCATTCTGCTGTTTTCTCCTTTTTTTGATGTCTGTAAAGAGGTTTCCCCTTTACAGGTTCTCTTTTTTAACAGGCACTTTTTAACCAGCTAAAATTCCAGTTTCTGACATGGATCTCCACAGCATAGGTGAGATAAAGATCCCAAAGCTGAAAAGTAACAAAGCATTGGTTTTTGTTGACATTTTTCAAATAGAACAGTTGCTCCTTTATTGTCTGCAGACTTTGCTGGTGTTTTATTGTACCCTTCAGATTTCACAGACAAAAAAAGGTTAAATCATTTTGGGTTAAATCATTTTGGGGCAACAGCCATCTCCTTTGTCACTCACTAGGTAGTGGGGTGATCCAGTTTTGAGATCCATTCAGATTCCTGTGTTGACAGTGAGGAAGGTTCCTGCCGTCTTGGTGTGTGTACCATTTCTGTTAAAGCCAATCCAGACGTGCATTATTTTTTGAGTTGCTTTACATTTAGGAAAGTATCCTACTTCTAACTGTATGGTGAATATAATGTCTATCATACATGATATTAACTGTTTTTAAAAGGAAAATAAAACATATATGCCACTACAGTTCTATTTAAATTGTTGAAAAGCCATGCAGAGAACAATGTTGCATGTTTCATGTGGCCAAAGATGCTAAACTAGAAACTATAATTCATTTTTTTATCTGCATTTTATTTGTCATCTTAAAGTGTATTGAATAGAAATCCTGTATATAAATTTTAATATGTAGAAAAGTTTTTCTTTACTCTGGTTAATGCTGGAAAAATACAGACACTCTTGCAGTACGCTTGTAAGTAGTTTCAGTTTTAGATTCAAGGTGAGTA